GGCACCGCGCAAGGTTTACATTAAGCAACTAATTGAGAAGACAGAACAGTTTTTACGAAGAATGCGTTGGAAAGCTTACTATTTTTTGAATCCAAATGATAATTCAACTGAAAGAGAGACTTATGGCTTTAAATCTACTAAGAATCCGCCTTTTATTGAAGAAATGAAACCATTTGAGGACGACATGCTAAAGTTGATACAATCTATCCAATTCAAGAACGTCAACTGCGAATTTCAACAACAACTAAATAACGACATTGACAATATTAAAGAAGACCATCGACTTTTCGTGAAAGCTGACAAATCTACTAACTTCTACAAACTGGATGCTCCAACCTACGACAACCTTGTAAAATCTAATGTAACCAAAACATACAAAAAATCGGAAAAAAAGCAATTATCCAACATCAACAAAGAAGCTAAACTAATAGCTGAAAATCTTAATATTGACGACCGCATAGAACCTATGGCTGAAAAAGAATGTTTCATAACACTTAAAGACCATAAAGCAAATTTTGAAAACAAACCTACATGCCGCCTGATCAACCCTGCTAAAACTGAAATTGGACAAATAAGCAAAAGAATCCTTGACAAAATAAACAAAGAGATCATTAAAGCAACAAAGATAAATCAATGGAAAAACACATGTTCCGTCCTAAAGTGGTATAAAGAATTTCCTAACAAGACGAACGCTTCCTTCATTTGCTTTGATGTAGTAGAATTTTACCCTTCTATAACCGAAAAACTTCTTCATGACGCTCTGAACTTTGCCCAGAACTATACAAACATAACTGAAGATGACCGTAAAATTATCATAAATGCAAAGAAATCTCTCCTTTTTAACAACGGACAACCTTGGTGTAAAAAAACGGAAAATAAACTGTTTGACGTAACTATGGGGAGTTATGATGGAGCTGAGACGTGCGAGCTAGTTGGCTGTTTTCTACTTTCATCTTTAGCTGAAAAATACGGGAACCGCATTGGCCTTTACAGAGATGATGGCCTAGCAATATTCAACAAATCCCCGAAAGAAATAGAAGACATCAAGAAAGATATCTGTAACACATTCAGCAAACACGGCCTTCGTATAACCATTGAAGCCAACAAAAAAGTAGTCAACTTCCTCGACGTCACACTAGATCTAAATCGCAGTTCTTTCAGACCATATTCAAAACCTGGCAACACCCCACAATACGTACACAGTAAATCCAACCATCCCCCAAGCATAATCAAAAACATTCCTGAAGCTATCAACCGAAGATTATCTGAAATATCATCTGATGAAAAAACTTTCAACGATTCTGTTCCTATATATCAAGAAGCACTAACGAAAAGCGGATATGATTTCAAGCTAAAGTACGCACCTACTTCTAATTCAAAAAAACGCAACCGTCAACGTAATATAATCTGGTATAATCCACCATTTAGCAAAAATGTCAAAACAAACATTGGCAAATCATTCCTAAAACTAATAGACAAACATTTTAAAGTTGACAATCCTTTGCATAAGATATTCACAAGAAATACAGTGAAAATTAGTTACTCCTGTATGCCAAACGTCAAGAACATAATTGATAACCATAATAAGAAATTAATTCAACAACACGCCACCGACCAAGATGAAGTAATCCCTCCTTGTAACTGCAGAAATAAAGCGTCTTGCCCACTTGACGGTGAATGCCGAACTTCAAACATAATCTACAAAGCTACAGTCACGACAGACGAAAGAACAGAAACTTACGTAGGCCTAACAGAAAATGAATTTAAAACAAGATACAGAAACCACACAACATCATTTAGAAATGAAAAGAAGAAAAATGCCACGGAACTTTCTAAATATATTTGGAGCTTAAAGGACAATAATATCGAATTCACTCTTAAATGGTCAATTTTAACGAAATCAAAATCATATAATCATTTAAGCAAACGCTGTAATTTATGTATAAGTGAGAAATATATAATAATTTGCCATAGACATGAAGCAACCTTAAATAAGCGTAACGAACTTGTATCTACATGTAGACATAGACGAAAATACCTCTTAAGATTTTACAACGGATAAACATTTAATCCGTCACGCTCTTGTATCTATAACATCACGAATCTGTAATTTTATACTTTAGCGTCAATTGCAAACTTGTACTTAATGTAAACCTTTAGATTTTAACGGTCATGTAATTGGTTTCACCTGATGAGTGTGGTCCTCTGGACCATACGAAACAATATTGTAGTGAAAATTACATCATGGAAATGCAGTAGTTTGTTCTGTAATTTTCTATTTTATACATACATATATATATTTTTTTTCTTTCTACTCAACAAATAGATATAAATAAGTCAAAAAAGTGTAATATGACAAATCAATATATTTAATATTTAAATAATGTTTTTAATGTAATATATAATTTACCTGCCTAGACTAGCTATATGCTATTTCCAGATATATATGTAATTGTAATATGTAATTGAATTTGAATAAACTGAAACTGAAACTGAAACTGAATTGACGTATTTCACAAGCATCTTAACAAGCAGGACGATAACATCTGGTTTACCATTGAAAGATATTCTGAAGCTGATACCCTTAACAAGGTATTAGAGAGAGGCTCTTAGCAGATTTCAATATTTCGGAAGAATACTCATGCCGATAGGTATTTGAATTTTGACCATCCGTCAACACACAAGCTGCAGTTGTACGTACTCTTGCTCATCGTAAAGAAACACTATTATGTGACGATAGTGTCGAGCAGGAGGACCTTTTCAAGAGTTTTCAGTAGAATGGTTATCCATTGAATTTGATTAAACGTCACTCCACCATTCACAGATTTACAAAAGCCAATCAAAAGGTTGCTGAACAACCTAAAGGTTTTGCTATTCTACCTTTTGACGAAGGCCCTACACTCAGAAGGTCAAAAGACTCCTGTCAAATCATAACATCATGACAAGTGTTGCATCAAACCTGAAAGGACTTTGAGGCAGTTGCTATCCAGACCAAAAGATCATGCGGATAAGGACAAGCAGACCGGTGTGATATATTCCATTGCGTGCGGAGAGTGTAACATCAAGTACATAGGAGAAACCAGCAGAGTGCTAGGAACAAGAAGAAAGGAACACCAGGCTGCTGTTCGATTGGCAAAAATTGAGAACTCAGGATTACCTCAGCATGCCACTTCCACAGGACATGTGATAAATTGGCAAAGAACGGAGATTCTTGCTAAAGAGGCTAGATGGCTAGATGGGAAGAGGCGTGTCACATCGCCAGGAGAAAGAAATTCTATTTAATAGAGACAGTTGTAGAACTCTACCTTTTAGTTACCTAAAATAGCTAGGCGATTCATTTATTGCGCGCTTTTATAACGTCATAACTTATGCACTCGTTGTTTGTTTTGATGGTGAAGTTTTTATGAATGACCGCGTAGGTCTAATATAAAGCTACTAGGTTTTATTTTATTAAACACAAAGGTTGATGCAGCAAAGTACACTATAAAGTTAAATCCAACCTACAATCATTTTTTTTTAATTAAGATGTTTCAATAGTTTATGAACATTTTTGGAGAGTTTATTTACCACTTTGATTTTGCCCAAGTACAGCAAAAAAAAACCCGCCAATTATAACTTCTTCTTTCTAATATTAATGTTTAATTTTTCTTTGTAGAAAATAGATACCGATATGGATTTAAAGATCGTACAACTCTTTATCAGGTTTTGCACGGCATATGCATTGGAACTGTGTAGCTATAACGAAGAAAATAAACCTGACTTCTCACACTCAAAACAATTCCTCATCTCCTTTTTAGAGGAATGTTTGGTGATAGCTCGTCTTCTACTCGATACCAAGACGCTGATTTACATTTATAATGCATTAGGTGATTTATATCGTCGCGTATATCAACCAGTGAAAGCAATCCATTGTTACGAAAATTTGCGAGCCTTTCTTTATGGCACTGGTGAGCTAGAAATGAAAATCAACAGAACGATAGGAATTACCTACCAATTAATAGGGAAATATCACAAGGCTATTGAAAATTACCAAAAGAGTCTAAGAACTGCTATAAACATCAATGACAGAAAAGGAGAAGGAGAAGCTTATCGACATTTAGGTGCTGCCTATCATTCATTAGGAGAATATCGTAAAGCGATTGGATGCCATGAAAAAGGTCTCAGCATTGCTAAAGAGATTGGTGACAGACTGGGAGAAGGACATTCATTTGGAAATTTAGGGACCGCCTATGTTTTATTAGGAGAATATCACAAGGCGATTGGATATTATAAAACGGTGCTGAGAATTGCTGAAGAGATTGGAGACAAACAAAGCGAAGGAACTACTTATGGAGAATTAGGTAATGCCTATTGTCAATTAGGAGAATATCAAAAGGCGATTGAATATTACGAAAAGCAACTGAGCATTACTAAAAAGACTGGTCACAAACAAGGAGAAGGAACTACTTATGGAAATTTAGGGGTTGCCTATTATTCATTAGGAGAATATCACAAGGCTATTGAATATCAAGAAAAGAGACTGAGCATTACTAAAGAGATTGGGGACAAACAAGGAGAAGGAGCTACTTATGGAAATTTAGGCAATGTCTATTATTCATTCGGAGAATATGACAAGGCGATAAAATATCATGAGAATAGGTTGAGCATTACTAAAGAGATTGGAGACAAACAAGGAGAAGGATCTACTTATGGAAATTTAGGGAATGCCTATTTTTCATTAGGAGAATATGACAAGGCGATAGAATATCATGAAAAGGCACTAAATATTGCTAAAGAGATTGGCTACAGACAAGGAGAAGGAGCTAGTTATGGAAATCTAGCGAATACCTACCAATTATTAGGAGAATATCACAAGACGATTGAATGCCATGAAAAGAGTTTGATTATTGCAAGAGAAATTTGTGATAAAAGAGGAGAAGGAGATACTTATGGAAATTTAGGGCTTACCTACCTATCATTAGGAGACTATCACAAGGCGATTGAACACCATAAAAAAGAACTGAGCATTGCTAAAGAGATTGGTGACAGAAAAGGAGAGACAGCTGCTTATCAAAATCTTGGGAATGTCAATATTTCATTAGGAGAATATCACCAGGCAATTATAAGTTATGAAAAGAGCTTAAGCCTTGCTAAAGAGACTGACAACAGACAAGGAGAAGGAGCTACTTATGGAAGTATAGGATCTGCCTATTGGTCGTTAGGAGAATTTCGGAAGGCGATTCAATATTATGAAGAGGCACTGAGTATTTCTAAAGAGATTGGTGACAGACAAGCAGAAGGAGTTATTAATGGGAATTTAGGCAATGTCTATGCATCATTAGGAGAATATCACAAGTCGATTCAATATTATGAAAGGAGCCTAAGAATTACTAAAGAGATTGGAGACAGACAATCTGAGGCAATAATGTATGGTAATATTGGTAAGTGATACACTCCGTCTATACGGTTGTCATTTGTGCCGGAAGACATAAAGACAACAACAAAGTCATTTGCATATATCGCGTGTTAAATTTGCATATATCGCGTGTTAAAATTAAAATTTCTTTGCAAAATTTTTAAGTAATGTTTAAAGGCCGACAATGAGGACTTGACGGGGTTTCAAAGTCCGCGCAATTAGTTCCAGTCCGAGGCGCTAGCCGAGGACTGGAACTAATTGCAAGGACTTTGAAATCCCGTCAAGTCCTCATTGTCGGCCTTTAAACGACTTCAAAAACTCATTAATTATTCGGGAGGGAAAAAAAGCGAAGGAAATACATATAACAGAAGGTTTTTTTTCCACTAAGGTTTTCAGTTTTCAAAATTTTGAATGCATGAAGCACCGTTTGTTGTTCTTCAATTCCCGGACGGCTTTCTGAAACAAAAGCTATTCAAATTGTCTTTGTCTGCTATTCATGGCATTCCTAATGAGTCTAATCCATAAGATTTATAAGTATATTATCTTCCGAGGAATCGCATCAGAAACTCGGTGGCGTAATGGTATAAGACGGCGCATATAGACTGGACGGTAGGGGATCGAGTCGTGAGGGAGTCATGTATCAAAGACCTTTTTTCACTAAATTAATGTTAAACTGATTATTTCTAATAATTTGATTATCATTAGCTAGTAGTAGTTGGAAACATGGTAGAAGTAACTGGAAATAAGGTAGAAGTAACTGGAAATAATGTAGAAGTAACTTGAAAAAGGTAGAAGTACTGTAACTGGAAATAAGGTAGAATACAAGGTACGAGTACTTCCTCTGGTTTCAAGTTACTTCACGTGGTACAAATTACAAACAGGGATTGGCTGAATACCTCATGAATAATTAATGAGTTTTTGAAAGAAAGTTCCAAAACGTCTTTACAATGCCAATACAATTTGATTCGCTATTAATCTAAAGTTTAGAACTAAAATTCTTCCTGTACCTTCTTCCTGTATCCTTTTATGCAATTGAATTTGTTGTTGTCATTATTTACAAGTGAACAACGTTAATGGATTTCACTGTATACTTTTTTAGTGTATTGTAAACAATTCTCAAATATATCACCTATTTTGATATGTAAGCAAGATTTATTGAAGTTACTGATACTAAATCTACTACATCCCCTGTATAACATGTGCGATTCTGTATACCATAACAAAATTGTGAATAATAGGAAGAAACATCATCTTTTCGACGAACTCATTGCCTTCTATGTGGTCACGTTTCAAGCTAGTGGTAAAAAAGGTTATTTCTAGTCATAATACAATACACTTATCAACATAGGTAGAAGCCTAACTTCAAAAATAGGCATTTTTTTTAATTGTCCGACCATTTTCCCTTTTTGGTTCAACTTGGATCCGCAGTCAATCCTCAGTAATTGGTGCATATTGTCGTGGGGTCCCTGCCATTATTATCTTTATTCGTATTATTGTACCAGAGTATTTTAGTGAAATTGTCGTTAGGTACTTGTAGTAACAGTTGGCTAACAGACATATCGCCCAAATTAAACACGATTTATCAATGAGATATCTGATACATCAATGATTGTGATGCAAACAATACATTTTATATCAAATACTAAAATCCAATGTTTGTTCTATTATTCTAAAGCAATCATCCTTTTGTTGAAGGTGTTCTATATGAAAAAACCGGCAGCGTTACAGACCTGAGCAAATCAAAGGAAAAGCTTGAGAAGAGCTTACAATGCTACGAGAAATTGTTTGATAATCTGAAAGACAAAGACCAATTCAAGGTTTCAATCGTCGATACATTCATCACAACCTACAAGATGCTCAGCCAAGTCCACATTAAAACCGGACAAGTGGAAGAAGCGCTCATGGTTTGTGAACGTGGGCGAGCACGTGCTATGAGAGATCTTTTGTCCCTTAAATACAACACAACTGAGAAAGCAGAATCAAAAGCATTGGAACTTGCTGATGTAAAAACAATTTCTTCACATAGAGAATCCTGCATTCTTTTTTACAATCTTAACGAGGTAACTTATCATTGCTGGATCGTATCATCCCGAAGTCCATCATTCTTCTTTTACGATGAAATAGACAACCGCGAAGCTTTGGCAACAATTGTTTCGAGCCTCTCTGAAGATGAGCGAGCAAATACTGAAGCGGGATATTTTCAATATCTCGTTGACAACTGTTTTCAGCAGCTGAATGTTAGAGAAGGAAAAGGAATGAAATGCGAAGACAGATCGATGAACTTACTAGAGCATAAAGACCTGGAGTGTACACCCTCGAAAAACTCTTTGCAGCTAAGTGAAACTGCCTTTGAAGCTTTTCAAAAGGTTGACAGATGTATTCCCGACGAGGAAGACGGTGATGTAGAGCCTCTCGATATGCTCTTCTATAGACTAGTTTCCCCAGTACTGGACCAGCTGATCCACGACGAGTTGATCATCATCCCTGACGGTCATCTTTTCATGGTGCCCTTCGCTGCTCTTCAAGACCCAAAGACCGGCAAATATTTGTCTGAAACTAAGCGCATTCGACTGGCTCCTTCTCTGACGACGCTGAGAATTTTACAGAAATCCTCGCATGACTACCACGAGGGCGTAAGTACAGACTATGTACTTATTGACTGAGCTCGAGGTTATGCCGTACGCTTCGAGCGCAGCGAGGTCCGTACAAATAACCGAGATCCAAATATTTTCCCGTACGGCCCGACCTAACTCAGTCAATAAGCATTTTATCATATGACAGCGTACAAATGACCGAGAGCCAAATATTTTCCCGTACGGCCCGACCTAACTCAGTCAATAAGCATTTTATCATATGACAGCGCTTTTTAAAGCTATTTCTTAGATGAGAGGATGCGTAAAGCAGAACTAAAAGGGCGCGGAACTTCAAGCCGGGAAGATACGGGTTTGTACGGCCCTGTCGCGAAAAGGCGTTCGGCACCCATCATGCAAGTGACCATTTCACAAGGTTTTTTAAGAGCGCGCGTAGAGCCGAAATACGGGTCATATGATAAAACCTTTTATTATATGGCTTAGATAGTACGCGCGCTCTGATTGGCTGTTGACAGATAATGACCGGTCGRWATTTTCCTGTAATGCCCGCTCACAGCGGTCATTATTTTTCGCGATTASACCAGCTTTGACTTTGAGTAAGACGAAGAAAAAACACGCAATTTTTGAAACGCATTGCAAAACAAAGATATCCTTTTAGTTCGTTTACGAAAAAAATAAATGTTTGAAAATTTTTTATTTGCAAAATGAGAGWCAACGAAAACTACAGTCAAAGTGAATTTATTTTACATGTAAGTTCTTGACGAGATTAGTGCGAAAGCCGACAAAATGGCTAYCAAACAGAMGAAAACCATTATATTTTTGGTACCAAACCGACGAAAATGACCAAAATCATTATATTTTTAGTAATTGTCTGCAAAAATGCGGGAATAATGGCTCCTTATTTCATAGATTCAGTTAATTTTCATGCAGAAATACATTATTACAGTCTACTCACAAACTTTTCAATGATTCTTCTATCGACAAGGCCAGTGTAGGTTKGTTTATTAATTCTTCGATGTGGATGTCCCTCAATATTGAATTACAATTTTCTTCTCTTTCGGCTCCAGCAACCGAGGAGTTATTGCATTGAGCAATGCAAAAGTAAACTTGATAGACGACGGTTATGTCCCACGAATTGCTTGAAAGTTTGCCTGTTTTCAGTTGTTTTCATTGAGAAAGCTTGGCATTTGAACGAGKTCACACTGACTCAAAATTCCTTCAACTGTACTTCCAGGTTTTTKCTCTTTTTTTCTAGTCAACGAGCTCATTGAATTTTTAAGAGGAGGATTTCATTCTCAGCTTTTCTTGTCAAAACACCGGTTTGAATCCCTTCGGCTTTTCACTTTTGTTTTGAGTAGTCTGTAGAGGTATGTTCTGGCATCTTTTGAGCTTTTACATCTTGACACATCGTTTTTTTTCTTCCAAAAATACAATCCTTTTTGAGCTATCTTTAAATTATGGTGAATACTTATCGAGCATTTCTAAGCTGTCATTAGACTATGCTTGCCGTCCTCATGAGTAACCAGTTGAGTCAACCACTTCCCTCGCCGTTCATACATCAAATCCAAGTGCTTTAAGTAGCATTTTCGGTGGAGCTAACATCAGCAAAATATCCGACTGTCCGTTCAAAATTTTCAAAGGTACAGKCAAGATCYAACAACGGAAAAATCGAGAGTGACGAKGAAARTTGAACATTCGCTRAAATCACTGCAAGGTCTGCACGTGTTGACGTTTTCAATCGTCTTAATTTTGAAGTACTTTCCAACTATTTTTACAAATTTTTGGATGTTCTGAAACTTTTTAAGCTAAATTTCCAGGTTTTGTGGAATAAAAACGGTTTTRTGACATAAATTGTGCTATATTAAACACATTTTCAAACAAATTGTTGTATTTTTTCGRCAMTGGACATGACATTGAATGAACAAATGCGCGCGCAAGCGGAAGTGTTAAATCACTTCCATTCTTTTATTTTGTTCACGTTAAGTAGTATTAGCTGCATAGTTGGGGCCGGATTTTTTGTGGGATTTGTGGAAAAAATCTGTGTGCTCATGAATATTTGTGGGTTAATATATTCAATATTTTTGTGGGCTATTATATATTCATTTTTGTGGACCTTTCACTTAATCCCCGAACAATAGTCCTTTTGTTCTCTATTGTTTCGCCTAAGCGGTTATCGAGCCCCGAAAATAGGTGGTAGGTGGGTATGCTAATGAAGTCAAAACTGATAGGGGAGGGGTGGTCAAAACGAGTAGGTGGTATAAATTATTTTAGTAGGTGGGTATGCTAATGAAGTCAAAAGTGATAGGGGAGGGGTGGTCAAAACGAGTAGGTGGTATAAATTATTTTAGTAGGTGGGTATGCTAATGGAGTCAAAAGTGATAAGGGAGGGGTGGTCAAAACGAGTAGGAGGTAATTCATTATCATAAAATTGTGGGCAATCTAATTATGCAACGTTAGTGTTGATAAATCGAGGGCAACCCTGTCATACAACTTATGTGTTGGTAATCTAATTATGCAATGTTGATAATATTTTATGTCAAGGTTCAGCGATCGCATAAATTAGTATCTGAAGAAAAGGTTAATGATCACTTTTGTTCTGAGACAATAGGTCACCTGCTACAGGAGTTTGAATAACCAAAAATTATGATTTTCAGCCTTTTTATATTTCTAACTATTGATTACTATACCTCACTTTTATTGTAAAGGCATTCATTACTTTGAAAACTTCCGAGAGGCCCGGAAAGGACCGGAAAGGCCCGAAGCTGTCCGAAAGTTCCGGAAAGGACCGAAGCTGTCCGGAAAGGCCCGAAGCTGACCGGAAATGGCCCGAAGCTGACCATAGAATGAGCTCCTGTTTCATCAGCATTTTAAAATAAGCAACAACAATGCAATCATTTATTTCAGTTGTTTTTTATTTTTCAATTCATCAGTAAAGATCGTTTACACTTCTAATTTTGACCATTTGTAAGGATTGCGCCTTATTCGTTGTGATCGCCTTAATCTGTGGGCGCTTGAAAAAGGACCAAACGTTTTGTGAGAATCGCTATCCAAATAATTCTTGATTGGATATCGGGGTCTCTTACGATTTTTTCTGGGTGGAGATATAGTGGATGGTGGCGTTAGCAGCGCAGAAGATTGAAACTGTGGGCTTGGTGAGACCGCGCTTGTGAAGGGAGAATCATTTACTGGCGACGACGGTTGATCATCTTCTTCTTCACTTGATACTTGC